GCTTGTTTTTAGTAAAATTTATGTTACTGAAAATATTCACAATCTCCCTTATTAGAAACATTTTCATAAAAATGCCCAAATCTTTTAACATATAACAGGAAATTAAAATCTGGCAAAACACCTTCATTTCACATAGTATTGAATAGCTAATACTATAGTATTGAATAGCTAAGAGTAGACATAACAAAATATAAAATTCTACGACACTCGAGTTCCCTCATGATAGTCATGCTACTGTTGAAAATCATTAAAATATCACATTTATAAATAAAAGTCACAATTTTTGCAATTTAGACATAGCAATGGAAAGGAAAATACCTTTATCTATCATTTTAGAATTTTTTTTTAACAAGTTCATTTCTACGGAGAGATATAATTTAACCCCCAAAATCAGTTTTGGTCATGTGTTCGATTAAAGCAAACTAGAAATCAGCTAATTCAATACATTTTCAGTACTTATGCATTAACTCATCGCCTGACAAAATAGCATGATTTAACATCAATTACCTTTAGAATTCCGCTGTACTGATCAGTGATTAGTGACAAATGCCAAAATTTCAGCCAACAGTCAACAAGACAATACGTACACATTTTTTGTATTGAAATTGCTTTACAAAATGCAGAGAAATTTCTTCATAAAATATGATGAAATATGTGCTAAATAAAGAAATATAGACAGAAAATTACCAAAAAAAAAATTATGGTGTGATTATTATGATACTGAATAAAATACAGCAAAACACTGAAAAGTTTGGAGCACAAAACACAGGAAACTATTCTACATCCATCACTGTTGTTATTACTACAGATGTGTTCAATAATAACAATATTCACTATACTAAAAAGCATGATAAATACTAGAAAAGACTATATGTACAGCAAAGCATAATCTTATTTTTCCTATATTAAGAGTAAAAAAGTGCATATACATAAAAGCTGCAATATTTCTGAAACTGTAGCTCATAAAACAGATTAGAAATGATTTTAATTTACAACCTGAAGTGTGATTACATAATATTTTGCTTGTATAGATCTAAATATGTGTCAAGTTCACTTATTTATCTCAACGCAGCAGAGCACACAAGGCCTATCTGCTTAAGGGAAGGGATGCTTTCTAAAGAAAGCCTGACTTGTATTTAAGTTATAAATAGTAAAAACTACGAAAACACTCATGTAGCCAGCTCATTCACCAGATTTCTAGCCTGATCAAATGACCAAAATTTAGTGATCTTAACCACTCGGCCTCTAATAATTAAGTGAGCTTTACAAACTACAAAATGAACTGAAACCATAAAAATAAAATGCACAGTTATTTTAGCTTATTTGTTTACATAATTTTAACTGAAAAAATATTGAATTGTTAACTTATTTTATAAATACTTCATATAATTTCTCTCAGTGTTTATCATATTTGAGGTGAGACCTCCAGAAGAAATTCTACTGCAGAGGCCAGTTTCACTAATTGGTCTCATTATTTCTAAAAACAATAATAAAGTTACTAGATCGTTCAAAATTTACAAATATAAAATAATAATAATAATAATATTAATAATATTGCTAATTGCAATCCCTGTTTCTGGAAATCAATATCTAGCACACCTAAAAAATGCACTCATTTGTCTTATCTATTCAACAGATGATGGAATTTTCTTCATTGAACGTTCTATGTTAATAATATAAAACAAATAAAATATTTAATTTTTCATGATTGTCATTCAAGGATTTTGAACTTTTCATGTACATTCTTAACAAACATAAAATTAAAGATAATACACACAGTAACCTTGGCCATACACATCCTGACAAATGCACTAGTAATCTCCATATTCTGAATAAAGTGTTATGAAGCATCATTACCATCATATCGCATAAAACATAACGACCAACATAATAGTTAATACTAAAATAAATATGCAACATGAACAATGCAAAAACTGATAGTTATTTATTATACTGAAATAATAATTTATTACAGATTTTACACTTCTTTATAAATTAACAAATCATTCACTACGAGAAACACGAAAAACATACTACGAGAATTTTAAAAAAAATTTTTGGGGGGGGGGGGTCCTAAATAGAAGGGCATCTTAGACAAACTGCTACTACAACACTAACACAAGAAAAAAAAACAATTCATTTTATTTTTTTTTTTTTTTTTTTTTTCACTTTTTCACTCCCTGTTAATGCCCACTGTGCCAGATGGATAGCCCATCCCTTAATCTATTTACTGATTACTATCATAATATTTTCACTCATAATGATTTCAGCTTATCAAAACTGGTTGGTTAAATTCAATGAACGTGAGAGCTATTTGTAGAGGAAAGGTAAGAATAGAGGACCTCACACAAAAAAAAAAACTGGTTTGTTATTTATGTTACATATGAGAAAAAAAAGCACAAAAACCCATGCAGCCAGCTCGTTTGCCAGAATTTGAATCTGGGTCAAAACTACCCGTGTTCAGAAATTGTATTTACTCAGCAACTAGCAAACTCATCATATATTTAAAAATAATTCCTAAACCGTTTACAGAAAATTTTATGTTATGAGCAACTGCACTTAAAATTTCACAAAAAATGAACATATATGTTTAGAAGTAAAAAGTCTAACCAATATTTTATTCTATGAAATGCTAACAGACTTATGACATTGTGTTAACTTATGATACTGCATAAACAAAAAAAAACATTGTGTTATTTGATCTACATATCTTTATGCAAAATGCACAATGTTAAGAACATGAAACTGTATGAATCATAAACAACTTCGCTCCCTGTCAAAAAATTTTTGCGGATTTAAATTTAAAATATTAAAACTCGTATATGTCGTTACAATATGAATTAAGTAAAAGAAAAAATGCCCAAAAAGAAAAATGCAACACAGAAGATAAGGAATTTTTGCCAGAGAGAAATACAATACTTTGAAAAAAATAAACACACACAAGCAATGATAATGAAAGTATATCATAAAAATTTGGGGGGGGGGGGGGTCCTAAATAGAAGGGCATCTTAGACAAACTGCTACTACAACACTAACACAAGAAAAACAATTCATTTTAATTTTTTTTTTTTTTTCACTTTTCACTCCCTGTTAATGCCCACTGTGCCAGATGGATAGCCCATCCCTTAATCTATTACTGATTACTATCATAATATTTTCACTCATAATGATTTCAGCTTATTCAAAAACTGGTTGGTTAATTCACCAAGGCAATGAACGTGAGAGCTATTTGTAGAGGAAAGGTAAGAATAGAGGACCTCACACAAAAAAACTGGTTTGTATTTATGTTACATATGAGAAAAAGCACAAAAACCCATGCAGCCAGCTCGTTTGCCAGAATTTGAATCTGGGTCAAAACTACCCGTGTTCAGAAATTGTATTTACTCAGCAACTAGCAAACTCATCATATATTTAAAAATAATTCCTAAAAACCGTTTACAGAAAATTTTATGTTATGAGCAACTGCACTTAAAATTTCACAAAAAATGAACATATATGTTTAGAAGTAAAAAAAGTCTAACCAATATTTTATTCTATGAAATGCTAACAGACTTATGACATTGTGTTAACTTATGATACTGCATAAACAAAAAAACATTGTGTTATTTGATCTACATATCTTTATGCAAAATGCACAATGTTAAGAACATGAAACTGTATGAATCATAAAACAACTTCGCTCCCTGTCAAAAATTTTGCGGATTTAAAATATTAAAACTCGTATATGTCGTTACAATATGAATTAAGTAAAAGAAAAAAAAAATGCCCAAAAAGAAAAATGCAACACAGAAGATAAGGAATTTTTGCCAGAGAAATACAATACTTTGAAAAAATAAACACACACAAGCAATGATAATGAAAGTATATCATAAAAATTTGGGGGGGGGGTCCTAAATAGAAGGGCATCTTAGACAACTGCTACTACAACACTAACACAAGAAAAACAATTCATTTTAATTTTTTTTTTTTTTTCACTTTTCACTCCCTGTTAATGCCCACTGTGCCAGATGGATAGCCCATCCCTTAATCTATTACTGATTACTATCATAATATTTTCACTCATAATGATTTCAGCTTATCAAAACTGGTTGGTTAATTCACCAAGGCAATGAACGTGAGAGCTATTTGTAGAGGAAAGGTAAGAATAGAGGACCTCACACAAAAAACTGGTTTGTATTTATGTTACATATGAGAAAAAGCACAAAAACCCATGCAGCCAGCTCGTTTGCCAGAATTTGAATCTGGGTCAAACTACCCGTGTTCAGAAATTGTATTTACTCAGCAACTAGCAAACTCATCATATATTTAAAAATAATTCCTAAACCGTTTACAGAAAATTTTATGTTATGAGCAACTGCACTTAAAATTTCACAAAAATGAACATATATGTTTAGAAGTAAAAAGTCTAACCAATATTTTATTCTATGAAATGCTAACAGACTTATGACATTGTGTTAACTTATGATACTGCATAAACAAAAAACATTGTGTTATTTGATCTACATATCTTTATGCAAAATGCACAATGTTAAGAACATGAAACTGTATGAATCATAAACAACTTCGCTCCCTGTCAAAAATTTTGCGGATTTAAAATATTAAAACTCGTATATGTCGTTACAATATGAATTAAGTAAAAGAAAAAATGCCCAAAAAGAAAAATGCAAGACAGAAGATAAGGAATTTTTGCCAGAGAAATACAATGCTTTGAAAAAATAAACATACACAAGCAATGATAATGAAAGTATATCATACAAATTTAAATACCATATGCATAGCGAAAATTCTATCTGTGCAGAAAACAAATAAAAAAAAATAACATTGCAATAGTTATACAGGCTCAGGAGCAGAAACATTATTATCAGAAATATTAATTAGCAATCAAGCTCAGAGATAAATACAGATGCCACTGTACTGGAATGTCAAAAACAGCAAAAAGCCATAAATGGGCTTCATTTGATACGAAGAATTATTTGACATTTAAAAAATATTTCACTCACCTAAAAAGAACTAAGCAGTCTCAAAGAATTCCTGTCGTTTTAAAATATATTTCATACTCGTTTTTCTCGCTCGTAACTCGTTCATACAGCCGAAAAGTCGATGTTGACATTTCTCGACGGCATTCCGGTAACAGTCGCCGTCCGAGTTGAGTTGTTGCTTAATGAATGTAAACAAACGCATAAAATAGAAGTACAAATCAGGATGTTTAACTTCCGTGCTTTCATTTGCGTTAGAAAATAAAGCACCGAGGTCATTCGCCTACTATGAGCAGAAATTTTTAGGAAACTATTAAAACGTATAAGGAACTTTAATGTGCTGTTTCTTGCTTTGTCTGGTTTGTAACTATAAAGTTATTTGAAGGGGAAAAAAGAAATTCTTGCGCAGAAATAGAAATTTTATTATTACGTAATCGTTGTTATAGAATAGAGCATTTTATTTTTTCAGTAATACACGTTGTCATATTTTAAGCATTTAAAAGCCTGTTTGTTGCTACATGTATGAAAGACAAAAAAGAAGCTCTCATTCAGTTTTTAAACACGCGCGCTCAGACGTATAAACGCCTACCCTCACAAGTGCATACAAATTAAATAAATGGAAAAGGAAGAAGGAAAATTTTAAGTAACGATTTGAAAAATTACATAGCTTTGGAGACAAACTATCTATAGATCTTGATCTAAATAGATTAGAGTTCACCGAAAAGAATAAATGCCGTTGTTGTAAAACACTGGGTTACAATGTGCAGGTATCAGATGAAATAATCACAGCCGGGATTATTCAATATCAAGATTTTTAATATGGATATTTCCCACAAACGAAAACGTTGCATTACTCTAACATATACTTACACATTCTATGTTAAAAAAGGGATTTCTCTGTTTTGCTCGCAGTTAAAGAAAGGCAATAATAAAAAATAGTCCAATCACAAGAGACGTTCCTTCTGTTGACTCCGCCCAGCCTTGAGTAATAATGTGTCTGAAGCAGCCGTTCCGTTTTTCGGCTGGAGGGAACAACTTACAAACTTATTACTCTGGGCTTCCAAGACTACATTACACACACAATTAATTCCTATCCCACCGATAGACACCTTGTCGTTCGCTTGAAAAATACATACTCTACAAACCGGCAATAATATAATAAAATACAAATAACTTTCTTACTTTATGTGAACGACATACCCCGCACTCTCAAGACAACACTTGCCATATATGTAGACGATACTGCAATTCTCGCTCTGGATTCGGTTAAATATACACTATAAAATCATATACATGCACTGCAGTCCTGGCTTCAGAGCTGGAAAATAAAAATCAACGTTGAAAAACCGGTGGCGGTCATGTTGTTACACCGAAGATCTATCATCTTTAATATTTGTATGTATAATACTGCTATCTCGGGGTCGAAGCAAATCTTGGTGTTATACTTCACCAAAGATTAACATAGAAGCCCCACATTACACGTGTAATCTCTAAGTTCAGGAAATGCAAACCTACTCTTCACCCCTTAATTCGCCGGAACTCAGTTTTATCCGTTGACAACAAATTACTCATTTATAAGGCTATGTTGCGCCCTATGCCTGCCTCGTCTGAGGTTTTCTATGTAAAACCATGTTTCAGAGACTGCAAATTAGCCAAAACATTATATTACGCCAAATTGCTCGTGCTCGTTTATTCCATCGTAATGCAATTATACACGAAGTGCTTGGCATAAAACCTATTACTGTATTTATTGCAAAAATTTCTTTGAACAATTTTAACAGAATTTCGAGGGTTAACAACGCCTCAAATCCAATGCTAAATTATGCTTTTTATCATGCAGTTAACAGAAGACGGCCTGGAGCCGTTCTTAGACATTTAGACTGATTATTGTATTAATTTGTTGTGTTTTTATCCATTTTACTTGTAATGCTGTTATAACTTGTTATTCCTTCTTGTGTTATTATTTGTATTTTATTATTTGGAACAAGCCTGTAGTTTTATGGCCTCCTTCGACATTTTCCTGTAATTCGATATAATTTTGCTTTTTATTATAAAATTTCGTTTTTTCAGAAGTTATGATAATATTCTCAGCCTTATTTAATGTATTAAATTTTTCCATTTTCGCTTTAAAGTCGTCAACATTTACATCCTTCTTATAAATATCTTCAATATAAATTTTGCGATACATAGACGATTCTTTGCTATGATATACATTTAAATTTACTTCAGTTAACATCAGCGTTTCCATACAAATCAATGAATATTCTATCACAAGGAGTAAAAAAAAAATCATTCATTTTGAAAGCTTCATCTGTTTTTATTTGCCAATTATCCTATTTATTTATTATTATCATTTTTTAATTTGGAGTTTTTATTATATTTAATTGGATTAATATTGTTTAGTTTTCGCAGAGTTCTCTACGTCGTCCCCCCCGGGGGTCGACGTAGAGAACTCTGCGAAGCTACTGGTTAGGATCTGTACCTAGGCAGTCTCGGCCACGGGGTATAAAATTTATGAACTTGGTGGTTCTGAAGGCTCTGGGAAAGGTCACTTATTGGCCGGCCTCGGAGTCTGGCACGTCCTAGCGCGGCGTGGTTCTAGTAACCCGGGGGTCTCCCCCGGGGTCGCTGGGTAATGTCCCGCTGCGACGGGCTCGCCCAAGCGACTGGTAGGTGCATTAGACGACCGGTGCCGCCCCGGGTGCGTCCCAGGCGGTGCGCTGCTCTCCTGGAGGGTAATAGTGGAGGTTGAACCACCATGATGTGCCCGAAGGGGGAGTGGACCCGGAATGAGATTGAGTTCTCGATACGGGGAATGCCTAAAACTTCTTCTTCTTCATGTTCGTACGGGTTCGTGGATTTGCAATGAATAACGACGGCAGCATTTGATGAAGTATCGAAACACAATTTGTTAGACAATGTTATTCAAGACAGCTCCAATAATATGTTTACTGTCGTCAACGAACTACTATAAACACGCTGGAGCAATCAGCGACACAGCCTTCAGGCTATAACGGTGAAGACAGCTTACAGCAAAGCACCAGAGTACAGCTCCCGACTCTACTCGATCTTTCTCGGAACTCTCAAGACTCTCCACACTACAACTCGCGATGCACTCGAAGGTACAGCTCGCGACTCATTTCGGTCGTTCTCGGAGCTCTGAGATAAAACTCGACGATTCACTAACTTGCGATACACTAAGAAACTTTCTCGGTGCACTCAACAACCAACTTGGCGCTAAACTTCGAGATAGCCGCTCATTGACTCTTAACTGACTCGACTAGGCACTCACTGACTCGCTAGACGAGACACAGGTTCATTCTCCGCGTACCAAAAGGGTTTATATAGCTTTTGGCTAGTGTTCGAAAACATTCTGGGCTAAACCGGTAAGAATTCAGAAGGTTCTCCATCCGTCTGTAACATATAGCCAATTTTGTCGCCAAATGTCGCCCAAATGTTCGATTTTTCGCCAAATGTGGCAACTTTGCGATTATTTGCTATTTTCTGGCAACCCTATTCCTGCTTTGCCGGGAAGCTATCTTGTCTTACCGCGGCTGGACATATCATAACAATATTTTTAGCTTGATTTTCAAAATTTCTCAAAATTATTATGCATATTTTCAATAAAGTTTTTTAAAGGTAACATATAAAGATACAACTATAAACATTAAGTATGCGAATGAGTACAATTGTCTGCTAACCACAATCCCTTCCCCGAATATAATTAACTATTGCAGCTCCTTCCACTGGACCGACGAGGGTTTCAGTTATATATACAAATAGTTTATTTAACCCCTTAAGAACCAGCGTCGGGAGAATGAAGCGCAGTCACGGGACGGACCCGCTGAAATGGATCGTCGCCACCGCCAGCGCATTTTCAGCAGTTAAGCCTAATTTTACAAAAAAAAAAAAAAAAAAAAAAAAACTTATAAAATCAACATTTTGTTATTATGACTTCAATTTTTGAAGTTGCGTAATTAATGCACTTGTTTTTAATGTGTATTAATATAAAGAATATCACATTAATAGAAATAAATTAAACAGGCAAAATATTAAAATCAGTACTATACACACAGAAATAAGTACTATAAACATGAAAAAAAAATTAATTAAAAAAAAAAAAAAAAACTAAACAAAAATTACTTGTAGGTAGTTAAATTCCAATTTAAAAATTCTGCTATGTGTGAAATAATGCAAAACAAGGATCGACACACAGTCCTACATTGCATATTTCGCACTCAAAATACGTTGTTTGCTTTCGCTTTTCCTTGGTTTTAGCGCACACAACGCATCTTCTAACTTTATTACCTTTTTCGTCAACGTAAGTGTTCGGAAACTGTCTTCCAGTTAGACGGAAAGGTGGAGTGTCCGGTCATTTTAGACAAATTTTAAGTAAGGTCTCGTAGCCATGGCTAACGGAATGAGACTGAATATAACCCCAACACATGTCCCAAAACTTCTTCAAAAGACACTCAGAAATATTTCATCCTCAAACCCTATGTGACGTCAGGTTTATATTAGAAAACTTCCTGTTTTTCTAAATCGAAAACAGCGTCCCCGATGATCGGAAAGTAAATAGAAAATATTATTTTCTTTAATCCCTGTTTTTCTCTTTCCTCCCTGCAATAGTCTGCTTCTAGAATTGCCCACTGGCGGGATATTCCACTGGCAAAGAAAGAATTCCACTGGCGGGATATCCATTATTGATCACGTCAATCTATACATTATATATAATTACATTATATGTAAAGTAAATACATTATATACCAAAATATAATGTCTGTGTCATTATGTATAATGACCATTTAGGGCATTATATATAATGACCTATTAAATCGAGCAAGAAGAACAAAAACGCTGGCTCTTTCCTGAAAAATGTGAACAAGACGTATTACGCGTCGAGAAAGCTGATAGTCTTCTGTAATAATGTTGTAATCTTACTTTTTAATTAACCAAGAAAGCTTATGTTGAATTTCAAAATAAAGAGGGAAAAAAATCCTAACGAAATAAACAAAAACACCTGTGGCCCTTTAATTCACAGGTGCACTTATAAAAAGCCGTGATTTCCAGTTTGTTTACTTCAATAAATCTCTCAAAACCAGAAGCACAAAACAGAAACTAATGCCAGTAGATGAAGGTCAAATGACGTATGAATC